CCCCCCCCCCCCCCCCTCCCTCCTCCTCCACCTTCTCCCCCCAAAGGCTCTCAATATTCGGTGTTGTTTTTGCTTCGTTGTACAGGCTGCGGCACCTCCTTTTTTATTGACGTCGATGATAATGAAGTAGAGCGAGGGTCATTCGCTCTGCAGGCGATGGTCCCCAGGAATAGATCAGAGCTTTGAAAAAAAAAAAGAAAAAAGAAAACAGCAAGGAGACAGGGAGAGGAGGAGCTGTCACGGACGGCAGGGGAAAATCAAGCTGGAGGTGCCTGCCTTTTTGTTGACGACATAAGGAAACAAAATGGGAGCCGTTCGGGCTGCACTGGGCCAGGCAAGTGAGAAAAGGACACGTCATCCTGTTAAAAAAAAAAAAAAATCCCCATAATTATTCTTGTCTTTTTCCTCTTTGTTTTGGGTGTGCGTGTGTGGGTGGTTGGGGGGGGGCGGTGTTGGGGTTGCAATAAGAGGGCTTTGGGGCGGGTGGTGGTCATCCGTTTTGGGGAAAAAAAAAAAAAAAACGTTTGCCGTGGCGGGGAGTAGTAAGGACTACTCGGGGACTTATTTTAATTCACGGATTTCTTTTTTTTTTTATTTTTTTTTTTGACGGATTTCTTTTTCTGTTGACAGGGAATAAGTCAGGGATTAATTGAAGAATTATAAGGGATTAATAAAGCTCTTTTTTTTAACCACTAGTACTTCCGCCGGTCTTGGGAAAATAGGGAAAGCTGGCAGTTTTCCCAAACTCCTAGAAAATTGCACATGGTTACGCTACAAAGAAGGTATAAACTGACATACGACTTCACGATTCCGCATGCATGCAATCGTAGTCAGAAACTCAGATACAAGCTTATGACGTGCGTGTGCCCAGTAGCTTCAGGTTGGCCCACAGCGTCTGCGCCCGGCCCCATTCAGACGGTTGCCTGGGCCAACAGCAGTTAAGCTGCCCAGCTGTGCAACGTGGCTGCTGTCACGAGCCGCATTCTCGTTGGGCTATGGGCATCCTCCAGCCATGTCGCTGCCTCGATTCTCATTGGCGGAGAGCGTCTGGCCACGTGGCATGTTGAGTGAGCCCAGAGGCTCAGCATGTCGTGCTCACAGTGGCGAGGCCCTGGCCCTGTAACCAACTGGCGCGTGGAAACCTTCTGACGGTCCACAACGGAGAAATGACAAACATTAAGGCCTCATGGAAAAAATGCAGGCCCGCCTTCACTTAGGGCGGGCATGGGGCTTGCTGGGGCCCATAGGGGCGGTCGGGTGCTCAGGTCAAAAGGCCTTTGTGAGGGCTCAATCCTCGAACAGGGATTAATTGAAAAAATAATCAGGTATTGTGGCAATATATATAGTCATCGTACTGATTACACTGTAAGACTGTAAGTGATAATCCACCTTAACCCCGGTTGTGGTTAAGCATCAACGACTGCCCGACAACTGATACCCTCCTGTGGTGGTGGGGACCACCAACCACTGCCCTCAAGGTACCTGTGACGAAAATCAAAGCAGACTATCACTCACCCATACCCGATGGAAAACTCTACAGACTGTTGGTTCACACCCCATCACAAGCAAGCAAGCAAAAACACCCACGAAACAGAGAAAAGGTCTGTCACAGCCAAAAAATACACTCCAGAGACGCCGCTGGCACTAGAGGCACAGCATATATATCGTCAAACAGAACTGCCTACGGTAAACCGTAGGCACAGAGAGGGAGAAGAGGGAGAAGAGGACAACAAACGAGGAGGGGCTGTGACAAACTGTTTCGTCGGAGTTTCACCTACCTACGCATCAGGAGGCTGTATATCCAGGAAAGACCTACCTCCTTCCCCCGAATACAACACATGGTCATTAGAGCTGTATTTGAGGCATCTTTCAGTCTAGATACAGCTATAATGACCGTATGTTGTATTCTGGGGAAGAAGGTAGTGTGAGTATGCCGTCAGTGTAAGAACGGATGTCCAGAAGGTAGAGGACTCGAAGCAGCTCGAAATAGATTTAGAAAATTTGGGCCGGTTTCTTCTTGATTTGCGCTCCTTTTCTTCTTTTTTTTTTTGTTGGATTTTTTCTTTTGGTGCACTGGCCATGCTAGTAGTGTTGTGTGTATTGTTCCAATTTTACTCTTTTTTTAATAACAGAAAAATACCCAAGGGCAGCCTTGCATGCTTTTTCTTTTCTTTTTTTTGTTCCTTTTTTTTTTTCTCTCTCCTTTTCTTCTTTTTTTCTCTTGCACAGGGGCCATGCTAGTCTTCTCTGTATCGTTCCAATTTTAGCGCATGCCTTGAAGGATGCAAGGAAAATGAGCAATAGCGAGATGACAATATTCAGATTGCAAAATCGCATTGAAAGCCAGATCGTATCACAGTGTTCGGAAAGCAGCATCGCACCAGTATGAAAAACCAATGGAGAATCGTATAACACTGAAACCGATGTCAATGAGAACTTGCTCTCGCCACCACCAACATATGTATCCAGGCCCTTCTCCCTACTTGGTGCTCGGCGCCAGCCTACTCCCTACACAGCTACTACTAGCCTACTAATTGACAGTGCAACTGTTGATGTCAGCAGCCAACGAAGTACTTGAAGATGTCGCCCGTAGCAGACCATCGCCAATACCAGGTATGTGCCCTCACATCATTATCATCGTCATCCTACTCTCTCTCCCTCGTCTTACACCTACGTCTTCCCTCTATACACCCGAAGACCACCCATGCGCCTCACTGTAGTCCAAGCCCATCCAGCTATGGAGGCTGGGCTACGGTGCTGCTGAGGGCAGCGCCCTCACTCACACACGACCGTGCTTGCACCGTGCCTCTCAGCGCCAGCAGCAGCCCACGAACGTCTGCTCCAGCAGCGCTGCCGCTAGCATGCAAGTGCCCGACTGATCCTCCAGGCAGCGAGCTCTTTCCTATATGGAAAGAGCCTGCCTGCCTTCGCAGCCTGACTGCCCTGGGCCTCGGCCCAGAAGCTTCTGGTAGGCCCCAGGTGGCTGCGCCTCTGTTGCAGCTACTGGGCCTCGTTCAGTTGAGTCTCCCAACTGTCTGTGTATGATGAGGCTGCGATTCTTGTCCAGGGCCTGCATCTTCGGAAAGGCCCGGAAGGCCGTGGAAGGTCTTTGCTGCTCGGCCTGTGTCTGCCCTCAACCAACTGGCGCGTCACAACTGCCTGGACCCCAAATACGAAATTGACAGTCGAGGGCCTCTCGTGATTTGTTAGGCCCGCCTTCACTTAGGGCGGGCACATCTGTAGCAGGGGCCCCTTAGGCCTGCCGAGGACCCAGATCCTCGCAAGGACTTCCTTTTTTTTTTTTTTCCTTTTTTTGTTCTTGAGAATGTGTTTTCTTTATTTTTTCCTTTTTTGTTCCTCAGAAATTCAGAATCTGTGTTTTTTTTTTTTT